CCACTTATTGAATTTGGACCAGTGAGTGTGTTTCTAACACCCATCACCGCATCCCGTGGCAGATACTGAATAAGAATTTGTGGGAATGAATGAATCTGCATCTCAGGGAATCTGCTTCAGCTTTCCTCTGATTTCTGCCATGCTTCAAGCTCTAACCTCCTCGGACTTTCAGCCTAGAAGCAAGTTTAGATTTTTCTTCTTCCACAGTTCCCTTGATGTTATTACCTCATAAAGTTATGGCCTCATTTGTTTCCTTCAAGTACTGCTAGATTTCTTGAACTAGTGTTTCCTCTCATGTGTACTACACATGATGCTTCGTTCTAATGTCTGTGTTTATCTTCCTCTCAAGTTTGGAAGGTCCTTGAAAAAGGCCCGCTCTTGCTTATATCTCTCTGGGCTAATCTCTTGTGTGCAATGAGAATTCAGCAATGTTTGCTGAGTTGACCTCATTACAGAGGACAGAACTCTTGTAATAGTCATTTTGAATATGACAGGAATTAGGTAAAATCCATTTTTTTAAAACATTTTGAATGTTGATTTTGCAGGGGAAAATGCATTTCATTAGAGACATGGAGATTTCTGTAGAGATTTTGAAGGATATCAAGGATGCTTCCAGGGAAGCGACCGAGACAGGGACCGTGGATGTAGTCAGAGTAGGGTGAGGGTTTCCAGAGGAGGCAGGGCGGAATATTTGCAGTCAGAGCAATGTAACTACATGCAAGGAAACCCCCCCTACTAAAACTATGTTAAACATTAAGCTCTAGAATCATTCTTCAGTGAGATCAGTTAATGTTCCCCAGATGAAGAAGAGTAGCACGTTTTATTATGCTAATCATTTGTAACCATGTGTAAGATTCACTTCAGCACACTAAAAAGCCCAGTCCTATGTGCAGTCTTTCCTCCTTCAGATCTGACGAGGTGATTTTGCAAACTGAGCAACTAACTTAGCAAGCAGACCCAGCTGTAGACGACATGGTAAAAGGCAGGAAGAATTCCATCTTAAAAGATTGCATTTTAACACCCAGGAAGTTTAAGAGGCAGGATTCTGTAGTAAATAGACAATACTTCAGCCCACCTTGGGGGCTGGGCAGGCAGCCTTTTGATTTGCTCCCAGACCAAGACGCTGGTATCCCAGAGAGAAATCAAGGCAGGAAATTCCTTAAGTTAATTTTTAATATTCAGGGACCACTTAACAAGTCCACACTCCGACTCTTTCACGTTCCCAAATAACCTCAACTGCCTATAAAACCCCTAGACAACACACCACCACGGACTCTCTTGTCCCCTCTGGGCATGAGCTGGGAGCTCTGTCCTCTCACTTTCTAAATAAAAGCCTGTGCCTTGCACTCCTGCCTTGAGTGTTTGTGAAGCTCATTCTTCGGCTTCGTGAACAAGAACCCCAGCATCACAGCTATTTAACTTAGAAATTTACATTTTCTCTAGAAACAGTGCTGCTGGATGGTCAGCCAGTTAGGCTGTTTGGGCTCAGGCAGGAACACAGTGCACCCAGAATAAGGTAGGTCATGGAGCCCGTGTGCCTGTGAGATTGCCTCAGGCAGACTTACTGAATTGTGAGGGGAAATGCAAAGCAAAGAGGCAATTTATCAGGGAGTATGCAAGATCTCATTGACACCAGGTGGCCTGCAGAAATGCTTCCCATTGGCCCAAGGGGAGGGTGAGTGGCAAGCCCCTTGCTTGCTACCTGTGGAACAAAATGGAAACTTTCAGCCTGGAGTCAAATTTTCTTTAGCTTGGCCACAATTTACCTTTTCACCTATACCTCCCATTCTCTGCTCACACATTCCATGCTTTACCCAAACCAGAGTACAGACCTTTTCCTAATCTTGCTACCTTATATTTAGATCTTTTGTGGCATTTCCCCCAAGCTGGTATATCCTCTTCCCTAATTACTGCCTGCTGAAATCAGATCTATTGTTTAGGGCTCTATTACAGTTCAAATGCAGCCTTTCCCAGTCTTTCCATCTGGGAATGATCCCAACAGCATTTGCTTGTAACATGCATCCTTCAGAACTTACCACTATTTCGTTTTACACCTTGAAATTTGCTCTTTTCTCTTATGTCTTGCCAATGGGTTTCAGCCCCGGGCAAGTTCTTTGGATTCAATGAGACCAAAGAAATGATAGTAGAACATTCTTGGGGTGAAAGGGCTTATACCCAACTTTATTCCAACAGTGGCAGGTCAATCACTAGAATCCCGTCCACTCAGAGCAAGTCTGCATGCAGCAAGACGGTCTCCGCCTCTGGCCTTCTTTGCCCCCACAGCTGTCTCAGTCTGTCCTTGGTGCTGCCACCACTCCAGTCTTGTCTCTGCTCTCCTGCAGCCATGCCACCATGTCGCCCAGAGCACTGGGCAGAGATCTTTATATAGAGTCAATATCAACATGTTGCCCACACACGTGCACTGAGCTAGCTGACCAGGGCCAGGTGAAAATCCTGGCCACAGGAACCTTCACTTTACCCACATCCCGGTTTTCAAACACCACGTTCACCTGATGTTCTTCCTGCTTCTCAAATTGCTCCTCCTTAGGTCCTTGGCAAGCTTAGCCTTCTGTAACTGGCGACTTTAAATGCTGAAATGCCTCAGCGCTCCATGCTGGGTCCCCTTCTCTGCTCATTATCCTTGGACATCTCAGCTATGGTTTCAGGTACCATCAAATTCCCATCGCTTCTGACTTCTCTGGGCTCCAGGGGCACTTAAGGTCCTCGCCTGGATGAGGTGACTCAGCTAAGAACGTGTGTCTATTCTGAGCGTGGCCCTCTCGTGTCCCCTCAAGTGGATGGCACTACCAGGCCCACAAGCCAGACACGTAGCTCCCTCTCTTGCACCCCACTATCTAAACCAGGGCCTGAATATCTTGCCTTTCCTGGCCTGCCATCCTCCCAACTCTTTGGCCACTATCCTTGTCTCATCTTCCACATCCTCTGCCTGAACTGGAGCTGCTTCTGTACTGGTGTCTCCATCGTCTCTTACTCCACTCTGCTCTGTTCTCCACATCATAACTGGAATGGTCTTGTTGAAACGCAATTACGATCTTCATATCTGTTTGCCTAAAGCCCTCCAACCACTTTCCATCGTCTGCATGATCTGCTTCTGCCTGTTTGTCCACTCCTCCTGTACTACTCTGCGCTCCATATACTCAGCTATACTGGCCATTCAGTCCCTTTGGTGTCCCAACACAGGGCCTTTGCACATGCAGCTCCTTCTACTGGGAGTGAGCTTTCCCCCCATTCTTGCCTTAACACTGCATGATCTGCATCTTACTTCAGTTTATCGCCTTATCAAGGAAGCTTCTCTATAACCTCCCTTCTATGCTCAGAGCACTCTCGTGTTGTTACTGCACGTACTCCAGTTGTACTTACACACGTCTTTGTGATTATCTTATTTATGTCCCTCAGTGGCCTGTAATCTCCAGAAGGGCGGGTGCACATCTGTTTTGTCTCTCCCATGTTCCCAGTACCAATACAGTAGACACTTGATAACAAATGATGTGAATGCAACTTTTGAGGACAGGGAACAGAAAGCCTACATCTTTGCATATTTCAGCTCCTGCATGAGGAACGGATGCATAAAATGTGGTGACTAAGAATACAGTGTAAAGAGAATTCACTTACTCAAGGACTAGTGGACACTGGGTAACATGCTAGAGATTGAGGACAACTGTGGTGAGCAAAATGAAAACTCGGTGGCTTTAAATCCCAGTGGCACAGTGTGAGTCTGTTTATACTGTCTGCATAAACTCTAATCCCTTCCCTGCTTTAATGGCATGTTGGTACCATTCAAGTGGCATGATTTCACGATTCCTTTTAACTCTACACTGGCCAGAGTGACAAGTTAACCAGGCTGCCTTTCCAGAACTGGGGCCTGGCACAGGACTCTAAGACCCCTCAGGTGTGAGTACCCAAAACTCTGGGCATCTGGTTAAGGCGATATACAGGGAGCAAGGGTTTGGGAAGAGTATCATGGGCTGGAACTCCCCTGGGAGGGGAGAGAGGCTCTGCATGGATAACACTGCTGGGCCCAGGCCAGATTCAGGCCCCAGAAGGCACTTCAAAGCAGGGGGCCCATTTGCCCAAGTATTCTTCCTGGCTCTCTGGAGCCATTTCACATCTTATCTCCAGAAGCGATCTGCAAGAGAGCTGGGACCAAAACCTGTCCATGCTTTCAGTGGGGCTTCAAATGGAGCGCGTTTGTTTCTGCATTGTGGCCAGGTGCAGAAAACCCAGCTGCAGGCTGGTGCTGTCTTCTGTACTTACTCAGATCATCTTCCCACTGGGCAGTTTCAACACTATTTTTTTTCTTTTCCTGGTTCTTTGACCTCCTCTGCTATAGGCTCCAGCTTCTGAGTACTTGCTCCATGCTTCCCTTACTTGATGAGTCACTGGGCAATTCTCCTGCTTCCTTATCCTGGGTCTTGCCCACCTCCCTCCCTCCTTTGTAGCTTTCCTTGGCTTAACATGTTAAGTTGCAATCCTGCTGGGGAAAGGTTGCCTTTCTGCCAACTCCCTCTGCAAATTCTCTGGTAGCTGTGACTGGCTTGCTCTGAATCCCCTTATAATTGGCAGCTTCTGTCCCTAAGCAGAATTCATTCCATCTAGTTTTAAGGTGGCAGGTTCCTTTTGCACCTTAAGGGTGGAGAAGGGTGTATTCATAGCCTGAGACCCCAGGTTTTATGCAGACCTCGCCTTCTAGATGAACTACAGTATTGACTACTCTGGCGCTATTCGTTTCATCAGTCCCCAGGACAGGACAGTGTACAGAAGACAGAACATGTTTAAGGGAGGACATACTAGTTTCTCTAAGCAGCAAAGGAAATGTGGTAGCACTTGTACGCCTCATAAAATGTCCTGTTTTTAAGACGTATTCCCAGAGGTACAGAGCTGAAGTGGATTTGATGAACCCTAGGATATAAATGCAGGCTTTTTGCTGGAAATCAGACCTTAAGACCACTTTGGTTGGTCCATTATACCATTACTCTCCATTGCCAGGCTGAAATATTTATTTGAAAAATTGAAAACACAGATGCAATGTATTATACAAAGAAAGGTTACCTTAATAAAAGTATTGTTGGAAGGAAACAAAAGCTAGTGGCTACCTACCCTGGGAAGGTAGGCACTCTGGAAAATGAAAGTCATTTACAGGACCTATTCTAATGGAACATCGGGGAAAAAGTTAAAAATAGAAGAAAAACAAATCCAACCCCATCCCTGCAAACCTAAATGTGAGAGTTTGTTGTAAGTTTGAGACAACTGTGTTATCACCAAGTATATTGGAACCCCCTCTGGTTTGTCCCTATGAGTACTAATGTCAGCTTAATTTAGGGCCTTCAAACCTGAGGTAGTTGAGGGTTGCCTGAAAGACATGTCTGGCAGGTATCTACTCTCAGAATTGGACCCAACAGCACCTATCCGATTATTTCAAGGTGCTTTGGCTGCTGTGGTGGGAGGCAGTGCATCACGGTGGGCTGCTGACCCTGCACTTGGTATGGACCTGGGAGACGAAGGGCTGGAGCAGCAGACAGCCGGCCCATTTGCTGTGTCCAGCCCGTGGTGGTGGTGGTCTGTGCGACAGATGTGCAGTCTCTGGAGGCCTGAGGATGCAGAGAGGGCAAAGCCAGTCTGGTTGGAAGGCCAATGCCAGGATCGAATAAGGCTTTCATTGGCAGGCAGGACCTCCAGAGACTTGAAAGGTGGTGGAAGATAGCAAGAACTTGACCAGGTACTAAAGACCAGGGTAAGCAGAACCAGTAGATACATGCCTCTAGATTCAGGAGCTGGCCAAGAAGTGAGCACTTTCCAGCTGCAAGCTTGGAGCCAGCTCAGCTCTTCCTCGGTGAGAAGCTGAGGCAAGCCCACCTGAGTGACATGCAATGGTGACCCCTGGTACCCGGTGTGAATCATGGTGTCTGACGTGGCAGCTCAAACACTTCCAGAAAGGATGCTCTGAAAAAGGTCTGGTTCCTCCAGCCGCTGGGTTAGGGGCTCGTATTCACACAGGATCCTAGGGACCGGTTGTGCACAGCAGGATCAGCAAGCAGCACGAACTGCAGTCTACCTTAAGATCCTTGCTCAGATATAAAATAACCCCTCAAAGTTAAGTCCTTTGTTCTATTTTTTTCCTTACTATGTACACACCTATTCTTATTCTAGAGGTATTAGCACTTTGTACTACAAAATTTAATAACCGGTGTGAGTAGTTTAACCTCTCGTCAATCCTATGCCATTGTTGTCCTGCTTTACTGTGACCTGTTTACACTGACCCTGAGACTTCAGTCACTGTTGATGCTCAGTGACAAATTTAATGTGAGCACTTCCTAGGTACAAACAGGTGGAAGCTTAGCAGCTTTTAAGGCTGTGAGGTTCATTTCTAGCCTTAGGATGGGATTCCTGTTTCAATCAAGGTATTTCCATACCAAGTACCACACTCATTTTTTACTTTGGCTTGAGGATAGACAAGCTTCCACTCTGAGCAATGATGAAAGTAATGCACAACAGCTGACAGGTATTTCCTCATATAAGGCTGAATTACCCCATGCTCCCCACTTAAGTGCTTCCTTAACTGCTTTATTACTCAGGCTAAGTCCACAATGGTTTTAAAAATTACCATGGCTTCATTTTAGAGGGAGTATTATTCAGAGAATCCTAATGTGGCCCAATATACTATACTCCCTCCACCACATTGGTAATTTGGAGCCAGACAGTTTGAAGGGCTGAGACCCTGGAAGTGAGGAAAGGCCAGCTCTGGAAATGTTCACTCACACTGAGAACATGCCAATGGGCTTAACTGGCACAACTGGGCCAGGCTGCCACACACCATGCCTTAGATATAACAATGCAGAGTACAAGGCGGTATTAACATAGGAGCACTCTATTCCCAGTGCTGACCTCTCGTAAGACCAGCAGGGAGATCACACATCTGAGTCTCCGTCATCTGAGCTAATGGGAGACTGTTTTTTTGAGAGCCTACTTAGAAAACAGAGAGGGAGTTGGGGGGTGTTTAGGAAGGAGGGGAGTGAGTGAGTCACAGTGATCAAACACGAGTCTCACGACCTGCCCTGTATCAACACTTGGCAATATTTGCGACAGGTCCTGGGAGGTGAGTGTTGGCTACTACCTGTCAGTTGCTACAGAGAGGAAGGAAGACGCTGTTTGTCTGAGATCGGAAGGTCACTTAAATGCTGGGGCCAGTGGGAGGCAGAGCAGCACTGTCTGGCCGGGCTGCCTATCTCCAGGAGGCTGTTGACATGCCCCATCCTCATCCCACCCCAGGGCAGTGAGGGCCAGGGACGTGCGTCCTCCTTTCTCCCTGACCCAGATGCTCCAGGGAACCTGCCTGCTCAGGGATCCATGCCAAGGGCAGACGGGACATCTTGGTCTTGTCTCTGATTCTCGGACACGGTCATGCCATGGCAGCCACAGGAACCTTACCACACTCACACCTGAAATCTGACCGCTCCAAGCGTGTTTCTGTAGGCTGCTGCTGCTCAGCGGAGGTTAGCAATAAATATTAAAGGTGCCAAATAAGCACAGGGTTTTCTCCTGCTGGGAGCAAGTCTGCCTGACCTGGGAACTATGTTCTTCAGATTCAAGAGGATGCTGAGGCAGACATTTGGAGAAAGGAATCAGAAACCTCTCACATGATTGCGCTTGGGGCCCTGCCTGGGTCTGAAAGGAAGTGGCCAATGTGAGGTGGCAGGGAAAACCCACCCCGGCGGTGGGGAGAAGGATGGCTCCTCTCACCAGCACACTCAAGCACGTGACAAGGTTTTTCAGGCTAGTCACAACGAGTTCCCGAGAAACGTGTCTCCTGAAGACCTTGGGCACCCCTCAATCCCCCGCCTCTGTAGCTGTCGCTCGTGAAGGTGGGCAGAGGCTTTCGGCTGGGTTCCAGCTTTAGGAGGGAAAGGCACTCACTCTGCTTCTGCCTTGGAGAGTGTGGCCTGGCAGCCCTGCCCCACCCCGGGCAGTGGCCTCACTGCCCCTCACTCGTTCAGCAGGACGCTTGGCACGGAGGCTGATGTGGAGCACCAAGGTGACGCCTGAGCAGCACCACTGCTGCTGACTGCTGCAGTTAGGGGCTCCCAAGAGCTCAGGGCCCCAGGGGTGCTCCCTGTGGGAGAGTTGGCTAGATGAGTGCAACTTGGAAAAGAAGAAAAGCCAAAAAATCCAACCGACCACTGTGAGAAGCAGTGGGAATCCATGGAACTTCCAGAAGAGGGGGCATTGCCTTGGTATTCTGAGCCAGGACACTCCTACTTCTTTCTGACTGTGGGCAGATTCAGGGTGGTGGCCTGGTTTGGAGTCCACAAGCCCTCTGATGCTCACAAGTTTGTGCAAATGATGAAACTGAGAAGACTAAGAAGAGAAAGAAAAGAAAAGGCTTAAGCTGGTCCTCCTGCAGGCTCCCAGCAAGGATGCTGTCTGCGGCCCAAACCACAGGCAGGATGGGAGGGTGGGCCTCCCTACAGGGGTGGCCCTGGGCCAGCCTAGACACTAGGAGGCTGGGAGACCACAAAGATCATGGGTGACACAATGGGGTCACTGTGGAGACAGGTTTTTGGAGGCCACGCAGGCCCTCGGCCCCAACGATGGTGTGGCTGCTCTGGGGACCTCAGGGGTCCAGCCTGTGGCTGGGGGAATAACATACACACACGGATGGACAAGGCTTTACACTGCTGCGTGGGCTGTTGCCGTGCCTCTATTCTTTCTCGGTTACCGCTTCTTGCAGTGTAGGTGGAGATGCTTCTGTTCCTAAAAGACAGTAATTCGTTTCATGGCGCTTCACCTACACACGCCTTCACTGAATCCACAGTTAAGTGCCACCATGATGGACTTGAAAACACGTCATACTCATAACCATCTAGTCCCTGAGTTAGGTGTCCAGGAACGACGGGGAGGCACTTGCTGGTGGTTTCCAGAGCCAGTCAAGTCCACCGAGAGTCAGCTATTTCATGATCAAGGTGACTTTGGACGCGCAAAAAACAGCGCTCAGAACCAGGTGATTAAGAGTCTCCGGCTGGCGGGCTGAATTTGACCCCACTCCGCGGCATTTCCAGCTCCTGGCCCTTTCTATCTGCCAGCCTTTGTTGCCCACTGCTGGCTCTGGGCAGTCAGAACCTTGTAATTCACTTGCCCTGTTTGTTGGGTCCTCACTGACCACCGGTCATGCATTCACTGTCCGGTTCTGTGCGGGCCAGAAACTAGCCCCTGGGGAGCAAAGCAGACTCACTGGGCCTGGAAGGGCATGGCGGTGAGGGAGTAACCAGCCCACTGGTCAATGTTAAGGTCTTGAAAGGTGACAAGAGCTTTCAATTCACCACAATTTATGCCAGTTTTGGGCTTGAATGTGATTTACAGTGGAAGAGAAACACAGTGAGTAGAACCAGGGAGGCAGCCTGCGCACTGGGAGGGGCGGGCCCTCCTCCCTCAGTACCTCCCGTGGCAGCCAGGCTGCGCTACAGACAGGTTACCTTCTTCCCAGCCCTCGGCAACCCCGGCCAGCTCGTAGTGCTTTTTCCGAAGCTCTCCCAGTTTCTGCCGCTCCTTCTGCAACTCGTTTTCCAGCTCCAGCACCCTGACCTGTGAGGAAGTGGAATTTCCTTCTGAGTGGCGATCCGAGAACAGTCTTACTTAAGAGACTGAATTCCCCTCTCCATGCCCCAGTTCTCTCCTCCATACTGTTTGTTGCTATCACAGTTCGCAACTTTGTCTCTGCTTTCATTTCTCCATCCACTTACGTTTTCTCACTGGGACCCTCCCCTAGGAATGAGTGATGCTTTACGGTCCAAATGCCTGAGTGGGAGAGGGCTGGTCTCTTGTTCCCTGATCAGTCACTACCTGCAAACCTACCCCTAATGCGCAGCCTACCCGTGTGGGTTGTTCCCACCTACTTGTAACCCATCTCCTCTGATCCCACTTCCCTGGAGTCCAGGCAGAGCCTGAATGGCTGGTTCTGGTATCTCCGAGGGGCCATTATTGTACAGGAAAGGCCCAATCTTACCAGGGGAAGTGTTGGTTCTTGGCTGTCCCTATTCCTCATGAATTCTCATTACTTTATTAACTTATTAATTTAAGAAATATTCATGGAGCACCCATCATGTGCTTTAGGCTCTTATAGGTGCTGGAGGCACAATGGTGCAGACAGATGAGGTCTCTGCTTACCTTTTTTTGGGGGAAAGAGACAAACTAATCAACAGGGAAGATCAGACTGTTAAGAAAATGACAGGGTTGGTGTGACAAAGGTTAAGGGTGGTCAGCAAAGGCTACTCTCGGGAATTAACTTCTGTGCTGAAGGCTAAGTGGAAAAGAGATCAGCTGTTCAGAGAACTGGGGCAGGATGCTCCAGGCAGAGGAAATAGCAAGAGCAGGAGCTGGAAGGCAGGGAGGAGCTGGAGGTGTTGGGGGAGCAGAAAGAAGTCCTGTGGCTGGCATGTGGGAGGGTGAGGGTCGTGAGACAAGGTTGAAGAGCAGGAGGGTCATTTTATCCTGAGCCCACAGGCAGGGGTCAGGAGTTTGGGTGCTATTCTGAGTGCCAATGGAAGCCACTGGAAGATTTTAAGAGGGAAGTGACATTCTGTCACTTATGCTTTTAAAACATAAAGGAAATAAACAAACTCTTGAAGGCAAGCATGGAAGCGACAGACCCAGTTAGGGTCTTTCTTTAGGGGACTAAGTCCCTTTCTTTGTTTTTAAACTTTTTATTATGGAAAATATAGAATATACACAGTGGGACAGAGATGTGTACAGTGGGCCCTGCCATGTGCCTACTGCCTAGTTCCACCAACTGCCAGCTCCTGGCTGGACTCATCTCCGCCATACTGCCTGTCCCTCCCTCCCACCACCCTGGCCCCACCACAGGTTTGTTTTGAAGCAGATTCTCGCCTATGTTACAGTTAAGCTGCTTTGACAGCAATTCAGGAGAGAAACAGTGGTGCCTTAAACTAAGTTGGGAGACGGAAAAAAATGGAAAGCTTAAGGTGATGATTGGAGATTTGGAGTTGACAGGACTTGCTGGTGGATGGGATGAAGGAGATGAGGGAAAAGAAGGCACCCAGGTTCAGGGTGGGGGCGGGGGTGGTGGTGCCGGTTACTGAGGTGGAGAAAACTCAGAGAGGGACGGATTTGGGAGAGAGGGAAGCTGAAGGACCTGTTTTGGATACACTGAGTTCGAGATATTTACTGAGCATCAAATGGAGAAAGAAGTAGGCAGCAGGACAAGTACAGAGCTCAAGAGATCAGGGCTGGCAAAGAGAAGTTGGTGTTTATGAGAATGTACGTGGTGTCTGAGGTCAGGAGGACTGGAAGAGCAGGAGGGCATTGGTACAGAGCCTCAGGGTGAGCTCTGTTCCTTCAGCATCGCATGGAAAGTTGGCCGCATGACTTTTCCTGAAGGTGCGGAGGGACCCATCTCCAGACTTTAACAGTCTCAATCTGGACTTTAACCCCAAAACTGACCATCAGTAATTCTAGAACAAGGACATCAGGTGTTTTTCAGGATCCCACTGATTCCTACTTTCATGGCATAACTTACTGAACAACAGAGAGAAATGGCTTCATCACCTTTGATGGGTTAACAGTGAATCGGTGATTTTTCTTAACTAAAGGTTATATACACATAATTTTATATCAGAAGTTTAAAAAAACTGCCAGTAGTAAGACTCCCAACTACTAGTTTATGGTCGGCTAGGAGAGCCCTGACCACACTAGAGGGACCCCAGCCCAGAAGTTCAGACCTGACCACTACTCCTCATCTTTCTCCACTGCCCTGGTTCTTCCAACGTCCCTCAGGTTCATTCCTGGGCTAATACGCACACCTGTGTCCATTTCCCCCAAGTCTCTCTCTGTGGAGTCTCTCCATGTGAGTAAGATTTGGGTTGACATCATAGGCAAGAGGTTGACTAGACTGAGAGATGGGGCTCCTACCTGGGAATCCATCTCCTGGCGTTTGATCTGCATCAGTGTCATGCTGGAGAAGTCCATATTGTCTGCAAGGATGGAGATAAGGTCTTGTCAAATGACACCCCTGGATGACTTTCACTCGCTGAAATGCATGGGTTGCCACTTACTGGCAACTGGTGACAGTGACTGAGGGATGGAGAGGTAGGAAGGGGCAGTGACATGGTACTGAGCATCAGACCTCGCAAGGACAATGGCCTTAGGGTCACTTCTTTGAAGTCAGAGGAACAGCTAAATGGAAAATCTACATAAGGCCTGTCACTACAGTGATCTGAGCAGCACACTGATATGATGCCCCACCTTCTGAGAGAATGAGAATGAAGGTAAGAAGATGGACAATAGAACTGTGGGAAATTGGGATCCTGTAGAATGTAAAGTACGGGTAACAAGGATGCACAAGAAGAGCATCACTACCTGTCTCCTCGATCTGTGACTTGCCGGAAATGGTTGAGGCCACGACAGCGGCAGTGGCCTGGCTCACCCCCCGAGAGGCCTGCTGCAGCCGGGCCAGGTTCGGGCTGTCCTTATCAGCTTTCACCTGCCGGGACCAAGCAGATTTAGGTTCTCACAACAGAGAAGCAAGGACTGGATCACATAGTTGGTCTGATGGCTCTTGATAAATATATGTCATCTGCTGTGGTCGATAATCAACGTCTTAAAAATTGCTGCCTATGAGGTCAACTCCGAGTGTATCTCTGACACAGAGAATTATTCCCTGCTCATCTGCCTGGTGGCCTCTAACTCTAGTTTTATCAGTTATTGTGATTAATTGCTCCAGTTGTGGAAAACAATTTGGGACAACAATAAGTAAGGACAATAAAGAATACTCCGCAGGCTGCTATAAAACTCACAGAAGGATTTTGGTGCCAAGCTTTGTATTAGGATTAGTTGGGGGCGATGGTTCCAATTTGGAGACCCTTGAGGAGAGGGAGACATTGGCTCTGGAACCTCAGAGCCAAGCCAGGGAACAGCTTACTGCACTGACACTCCCCATTTATGAGTGCAAATCAGACTGCAAACCAGAAGTCAGCATGGCTGGGACCCTGAGGCCATTTGTAGTAAAAGTGAGGAGAGCCAAGAGGAGCCCATGTGGTGGGCTGGGTAGGGGGTCTCTGTGCTGACAGATAAGAAGCTTTTAGAGGAGGGTATTTTATCTTGGGGCCCAAACTACCTGGATCCTGGATAAAGCATCTGTTCTTGGGACCCAGCTCCAAGTCCAAGTACTTTCCAAGTTGGCCAGACCTTACGGTGTTTGGGGGCACCCAGGATGGACCCTACCTACCTTGGAAGCAGCCACAAGCTGGGCTGTGCTAGCAGCGATTTCGTGGGAACACACCATGAGCTCCTCAAACTTCCCCCTGCCTTGTACCGCCATATCGGCCGCATCCCTGAGAACCAGGAAAGGACAAGGTGGGTTATGTCACTGACAGGTGTGACCCTTGCGGTCCCACCTGTAGGCCACCCCCACCACCCTGGCTGCATGGAGCGCACAGCACTGCCCAGGGAGACCCAGGCTCCCTTTCAACCTCTAGTTTTATTGGCTTCCTTATCCACCCTTCATTTCTAGGGGGCAGACTTCTCTCCCCTTAGTTATTCTCTGGGTCGGCTGACGGAATGTGCAGTGGGGGCAAGGGCCTGGCAGACTTACACCATGACAGTGGCCCCCCAGCCCACTGCTTTGGAGGCTGAGATGAGTCCTTCTGTCCATCGTGAATTCTTGGCATAGAACTCTTTAGGAGATGCTGTACCCTAGGGGAGTGAAAAATTGTAACAGCTGCCTTTTACTGAGCGCCTACTATGTGCCAGGTGCTTTCATATGTATCACCCCAGTCTTCACGTAACCCTGAGAGGTAAGCATTATGACTTGCATTTTGCAGATGAGGAAAGTAAGACTGAGAGGAGCAAAAATACTTTTCCCAAGATCACGTAGGAAGTAAGTGGAGCAAATCCTAGGCTTTTCTGACTCCAAAGCCTGTAGTGATTTTACATATCACAGTATTTTGACATTGTATATATAAGAATATATATACATATATACGCATCCATATGAATATTTGAGTAACTTATGATCTGAGGAGAGTCTAGCCTCTCTCCATGATGTACCAAAAGAAAATACACGGTGAGTAAAAAAAATTATTTCTGCTTGGGATTTTAAAGTATTTTATGCTTTGGAAGTGTCTGATAATCTGATTATCTACAGACACCGCTTGCTCAGTCCCTGCTTTGGGGCTAGAGTGCCTCCTCTCCGTCTCAGAGTGGTGAAAAGCACCCAGCAAAGCAGGCAGGGCTTGGGTCCCATAGGATGCTTTCCAGGCGCATGAGCCCTGCCCTGGACCTCTGTGTTCTCAGCTGCAGCGGCACACAGGGACGTGAGAAAGGGCAAGGTGACCAGGATACCAGTGCAAGAGGCTGAAGTGATGATGTCAGCAGGTGGCGGAGGCAGAGCCTGTCTGCCAGTGACTGTGAGTGACTCTGCGGCTGGGAGCAGGCGCCTCCTGGAAAGCCAGTGCGGGTCTGCTCCTCTGACCTGCCCAGGTTTTACAAGCCACTCCCTCCACCCAGGGTGTAGACTTGCGAAGCACACTGGGTTTCCACAGTCAGTTCCAGCACATCAGCCTGGGTGGACGAGCCTGCGGCTGGAGGCTCTCTGGGGACCTGGTAATGCCCTACTTCTCCCCATGGCATCTGCTGCCTCCCACGGTAGTGGCAGCTGCCCCTAGGTGGACGCAGGATGAGATGGCTGCCTGCTGGGATTCCACTGAATGCAGACGAGAGCAGCGAGGAGACCAGCCTTGCGGGGAATGGGCAGTTGTTGCCGATGCCTGTCTCCCTCCACAGGCCTCCCTGACGCTCACCCGGCCACTCTCCACGATCTCTCGCTGGAGGTCCTTAGAGGCCACAATCAGGACCTGAATAGCTTGCATCAGGCTGGTGCAGGAACCAAGGATCCTGCAAAACAAAAACAAAAACAGGTCAGGCAGAAGACTGTTCGCTGACTCATTCCCAAACATGGGCCGCCCTGGCATGGGAGCGAAGGCGGGGAATCTGGTGGTGGAGATGCACTGAAGGAACGGCAGTGAGCACGGAGACCGACTTTGTTCCTCCTAAGGGACAGTTAGAGGAAGAGTCATGGGCTTCCTTCCCCCCATAACGCCGCAGCACTACCGTCACTGCAATGCCGTTACTGACAGGTACACAGCCTCAGACCTGTGCCTGCTAATGTTCCATGCTAATAATTAGTACAATTAGTGTAATTAAGCCCACACAGGGAAGACTGATCCTCATCACTCTGTGCCACATGCTGCTCAGACTGACCTCTCGTTCACCTCCAATTTGACTCCCGTGTCTCCAGCTCGGGATTTGCTGAGCATCTCCTGTTGAAAAGAAGCAGGTTTCTCAGTAACGCAATGAGCCTGGAGAATGCATTGGCATCCTACTATGCTTTGTGTCCTACATCCTGCGGTGGCTGAGAAACCCAAATCTAAAAGTGCCCTCCATCTACATTCCTACGAGAGTCAGAGGTGGGATGCATCCATGGCAGGCTGGCTCTACTGTCAGTGTGCGTGCTGGCATCCTGGGGCCCAGGCTGATGTGCGCAGAGCTCTGAGAACTCTGGCAAAGTGGGCACAACATGTGACCTTCCCAGTGGTGCCCACTGAGCTTTCTGCTGAGATGGTCATTACCTTGGAGTGCGTGGCGCTGAGATGAATGTATATCACCTCATCTAAGTCTTACAACATCCCTCCAATGTAGGTTATTTATATGCCACCCCACAGAAGTGGAATCTGAACCTCAGCAAGGTTAAGGCAACTTATCGGAAGGCTTGTAGACAACTAGCAAGTGGTCCATCTGGAACCCGAGCAGAGGATGGCCTGTCACCAAAGTATGGGATTCTTGAAGAAGCTGCTCGCCTCCCCGTGGTGGGACCTTCTCATTTCCTAGTGGGTCTCAGAGATCCTGGTGGGTCTCGGTTTGGGTTTGTTTAGAGGGGGCCACTGTAGCCTTACTGAACAACTGAGACACACCCCCATGGGGAGTGCTGCCAAAGGGTAGTGCCAAGAGCCTCCCTCCTTGCAGGCCTCGTGCAGACACCTGCATACCTCTATCCTGGCGGTAGCAGCCTCAATGGCAGCTGAAGTGGCTGCCATCTCCTTGTCTACCAGGTCCCCCAGCTCCTCCTGTTTGATGTCCAGGCCTCTGGGCAGGAGCTCCTGTGAACAGCACCACAAAGGCTGAGATGACCCTTTAACCTCCTCTCTGTTTTGCTGAAGCAGACCTGATACCCTCAGATGAGAACAGAAGGTAGGGGAGACCCACCATGGAACACACTTCTACAAGCTGTAGAGGGGAGTCCCTCCTAGGCCTCGCCTAGAACATTCCACAGTGTGAACTCTGGGTTCTCACGCTCCAACCCCTCTACTTGCACTCAGAACCTACCTCCTTCTAGAGAACATTCCTGCCTAGCCCTGTGAGGCCATGCAGCCGCAGCCACTCAGGCCCTGACCCCACAGATGCACAGTATCAATTTGGTGCTTGGGAGGTATTTTAAAAACACCTTCAAATGTGGATGATGTCTTCCAATCAGACAGGCTGCCCCTCAGTTAACCGCTTCCATAGCAATTGTAGGAGACAGTTACTAACCCTGTTCTACAGATGTGAGGCCAAGGCCCGGAGAGGTCAGATATCTTGACCACAGTTACTCTGCTAATAAACAGCAGAGCAGGGATTCGAACTCAGGTCTGAGAGTAAAGCCCATTATTTAAAAATTATGTGTTATACATTTAAGAGTATAAAACAGATAGGAATGCTTTAAAGAATATGAACAATGACCCACATTGTCCACTACCACCCAACTTGAGGAATAGCTTAAGAAATATTATCAGTACCTTTGAAATCTTCTTTGAATTCTGCCCGTATTTCATCTCCCTTCCTGCCTGTTCCCCACCTCCACATAAACACAGAATAAAGGAAAATGCTTACCATATCTTTTTTTTTCTTTCTAACTCCATTATGAATGCATTCTTGAACAATGTTACATTTGCATGCATTGGTATTTATATAAAAGGAATCATACTGTAAGTAATTTTCAATGGCTTGTTTTTTCACTCAGCCTTCTGTGAGATTTGTCCTCTATCCTAGTAATTCTATTCCTAGGCATATACCCTAAAGAAACTCTCACATCTGAAGATATGTACAAGAATGACCATTGTAGCACATTCATAATATCCCCAAAGTGCATCAGCAGGAGAACAGATTATACATTGAGGTGTAGTCACCCACTGGAATACTACAGAGCAGTGAAAAATGAAAGCATCCACATGGAGGAATTGCACACAGAATATTGGAAAAGTGAGCTGTATATAGATGAAAGTCTGTTACACACAGAACTAACAATACATTACTTAGGAGGGAGAGAAAGGATATAGTCATTCTATTACTTTCCAGAACTGATTAAACATTCTATATATAATGTCCATATTCCCACTTACAAAATCTGTGCTGGGAGGAGGAGCCAAGATAGAGGCGTGAGTAGGGCAGCAGAAATCTCCCAAAACCATATATATTTTTGAAAATACAACAAATACAACTAATCCTAAAAGAGAGATCAGAAGATACAGTACAACAGCCAGACTACATCTATACCTGCAAGAACTCAGTGCCTCACGAAGAGGGAAAGATACAAGCCGTGGTCCAGTGGGACCCAAGGGCGCCCCTCATCCCAGCTCCCCAGCGGGAGGGAAGGGGTCAGAGCGGGGAAGGAGAGGGAGCCCAGGACTGCTAAACACCCAGCCCTAGTCATCCGCACCAGGAGCACAGACACAGTGCATGATGTGCTGGACATTAGGGAAACGGAACAGTAAAATCTGCAAACGGGTCCCCACAGCCAGCACCCCTGGGACAAAAGAAAAGTGAGTGCTTTTTGAAAGTCTTAAAGGGACAGGGGCCTTATAGCAGAATGGAAGTGTCCTGGGACACTCAGCCCAGCAGCTGGGAATCCTGGTGAACTCCAGGCACGCTAACCCCCTGGGAGGCAGTGCAGCTCTGAAGCCCCTCACAGTGATAAACAGCCTCTTGTCCATTCCCTCTGGCATGACCTTACCATAGCAGGGCAGTAGCCTGAGAGCAGCTGCACCCACAGCAGCCGCCTAGGACAGACTCAGAGCCCTCCCAGTGCATGGCAGTCCAGCACAGACAGAGAAAGCCAGGACAGGGTGCGAAAGGTTGCTGTTCTCGCAGGAGAGCACACCAGGTGTGCCTGCCCCTCCCCACAGGGCTCTGAGCTGCCCCGACAGCTGCCGCGCCCACAGCGGTTCAGGAAATAAAACTGGAAGCTGCTCCCTGTGTGTGGGTAACCGGCAGAGGCAGTGAGGAGGGCAAGGTGAAGAAGGGACGTTCTTCTCCCAGCTAACATATGAGCCAACTGCCCACAACTACCTCTATAGCCATGAAAAGGCAGAAGAATTTGATCCAGTCCAGAATCACCCAGAAAACCCCTGAGAGGGAGCCTGGGGAGAAAGATTTAACCAATCTTCCTGAAAAAGAATTCAAAATAAAGGTCATAACCATGCTGATGGAGCTGCAGAGAAATATGCAAGAGCTAAAAGATCAAGTTACGAGAGAGAATATAGAAATAAAACAATCTCTGAAAGGACTTAAGAGCAGACTGGATGAGGAGCAAAAGGCCATTAATGGGACAGAAATCAGAGAACAGGGAGACAGAAAAGCTGACACAGAGAGAGATAAAAGGATCTCCAGAAATGAAAGAATATTAAGAGAATTGTGGGACCAATCCAAATGGAATAATATTTGAATTATAGGGATACCAGAAGAAGAAGAAGAGAGAGAAAAAGGGATAGAAAGTGTCTTTGAAGAAATAATTGCTGAAAACTTCCCCAAACTGGGGGAGGAAATAATCAAACAGACCATGGAAATACACAGAACTCCCAACAGAAAGGATCCAGGGAGGACAACACCAAGACACATAATAATTAAAATGGCAAAGATCAAGAACAAGGAAAGAGTTTTAAAGGCAGCTAGAGAGAAAAAGTTCACCTATAAAGGAAAACCCATCAGGTTATCATTAGACTTCTCAACAGAAATCTTACAGGCCAGAAGAGAATGGCATGATATATTTAATGCAGAGAAACAGAAGGGCCTTGAACCAAGGATACTGTATCCAGCACGATTATCATTTAAATATAATGGAGGGATTAAACAATTCCCAGACAAGCAAAAGTTGAGGGAATTTGCCTCCCACAAACGACCTCTACAGGGTAGCTTAGAGGGACTGATCTAGATGGGAGCACTCCTACAAAGAGCACAGAACAAAACACCCAACATATGAAGAATGGAGGAGGAGGAATAAGAAGGGAGAGAAGAAAAGAATCTCCAGAAAGTATATGTAACAGCTCAATAAGTGAGCTAAGTTAGGCAGTAAGATACTAAAGAGGCTAACCTTGAACCTTTGGTAACCATGAATTTAAAGCCTGCAATGGCAATAAGTACATATCTCTCAATAGTCACCCTAAATGTAAATGGACTTAATGCACCAATCAAAAGACACAGAGTAATAGAATGGATAAAAAAGCAAGACCCATCTATATGCTGCTTACAAGAAACTCACCTTAAACCCAAAGACAAGCATAGACTAAAAGTCAAGGGATGGAAAAACATATTTCAGGCAAACAACAGTGAGAAGAAAGCAGGGGTTGCAGTACTAATATCAGACAAAATAGACTTCAAAACAAAGAAAGTAACAAGAGATAAAGAAGG